ACTACTCTCTCTCTCTCTCTCTCTCTCTCTACAGACATATATAGACATATGTATATATACATGTATACATATGTATATATGCATGTATACATATGTATATATACATATACACACACACACACATTGCACTGGACAGATAAGCAAAGTAACTTGGCAAACACTCAGAAACACATTGGCATTTATTTTTTAATTGCAATACAGGCATACCTGCAGACAGATTGTATCACAAACAGCACTTGAGCCACAATTGCCATCACTTCCTTCTCTAACCAATCTTGGGAGTAGATTACAAAAGTACATATCCCATATCTTCTTGTTTATATTGATGGAATCAGCAATGGGGTGTAGAACCTAGATTAATCAGAAAAGAAAATCTGTAACCCTAAGATTATTACCAATATAGTAAATTGCATAGCATAAAGTTCATTGCAAACATAATAATTAAATGTCGTTTGACATTAATACTAAATCCATATTTATAGAAGAATAACCAGATTAGTCAACCAACTTTGTGTAAGTTAAACAGAGCAGAGAGATGAATATGGAAGTAAAGCACAACTTTTATGTACCTAATATTAATTTTTTAAGGATTGTTTTCACAAGATCCTTCCATGGATGCAAAAAGATAAAAAATCGTATCATGAATCAACGATGTCACAATGCATCCTCTTCAGTGGTGATTAATAAAAAATGTACAACATAATAGAGAAGAGCACTAGTGAACCGGCCGATAGAGCTAAATAAGAATTCAGCAATAAAGCATTCCATCTCAGTGATTCTTAATATGTATGGTTTCTGATATGCTGATACGTTCTCGATCTTAGCTAATCCTTTGTTTATGTTAGTCCATTCAAACTGATTCATGAGCATTTAAAAAACCATCGGTTCCCTCTTTCCCACAAGAAAAGAGTGACTGCATACATATCTTTTGCCCTTATTTCCAACTATGGTTCTCACCCTACAATGCCAGAACTTTCATCCATATATGATTTCTTTTGTTAGAAAAAAACTGTATGCTCTTCTTTATCATCATTATATGGTCATTCAATGTTAGACATGTATTAGCAAGTACCAGGGCACTGCTAGATATAGTAAATCAGTTTACCCTGCTTATTTCCGAATAAGAATAAGGAAACCCATTAGATACATCTACCTTACTATAGAATAATAATTAATGTAACATATATCTACCTTTGGATATCGCATAGGTGGCAACATGGGCTCAGGCAAACCATCTGGAAAGAAAGGATGCTCATCTGGGCTCTTGTACCTACCAACCTGTATTCAAAAGTGATCAACATGTCGAAAGGAGAATGGTAAAAGAGTTCGACTACTGTTAACTTTCTTTACAAGGTATGGCTTACCTGTGCATGCAGTTTTTCGGTTTCTCTAACCATGAATTCGACCAATGAGTCATGGGAGCCATCCATGAAGGAAGCATTTTGATCATATGTATCAGCATTGTAACAGTACAGTGCCCTCTCTAATAAATTAAATATAATTGTGTCCTCCTGCCTGATTAGAGAGTGTCGTATGCTCTCTAAGGTTAAGATTGCGCTTTGGTCTACCCTTTCTTTATCGACACTAAATAAAAGCGAGATCATCAAAGTAAGTCAGATGCTGGTATGTCATGATGTCATCATAAATCTTAATAAGAGACAAAGACAACTTGATACGCATGAAATTGTACAAGCATGCAAATCATTGACATCTTCAATGCACTCCTTATGACAAGAAGAATAATCACGTCCCTGCACATTATTTCTGAGTACCATAGGTAAACAACTCGGGTTTGCCTTATGTCTAATTTTTTTTATATTAAGGTAGACTTACTGTGTAAATGAGGAATACTGCTTTTGGTTCTACTTTTGTTGGTTCTCCAAAAACCCAGAAAAATCAACAGTAATCTTTTTGAGTTGCTCATAACCAACAGAGCACAGGATCATCATAAACATCATAGTTCCTTAGCGTTCCATGACCATATATTTCGTGAGTAGATATAACTCTAATCCCCAATAACTATGAATTCTATTATGTGCGCGTGGTAGACGGATATACGAATAAAAAATCAGTGGCATCACAAAACCTAAACCTGAAGAACGGAGCGAAAGGAGGCAATTTTAAGCTTCCTAATGCAGCTAGCAGAACCAGAGGAACAGAACGCGAAGATCCAAGTGACCATAGATCCACATGTGAACATACTTTGGCCTAAAAAGACACCAACTTTGACCTAACACACGGGTAAAAACGGCGAAACCGGATCGAAGGCGGCAACTTTCTTATACCTGGAAGGAGAAATGGAGCTTTGGATCGAATGGAGCTTTGTCCCCGATCTAATCGATACCGAGAGAGGAGATCCCCCAAGGCGGAGCCTTTGCGCGGTCCCATTGCAGAACAAGAGGCTGGGTCTGGGCGATTTCAAGACCCGATGGGCGTTCAGAGAGGAAGGAGAGAGCTGGGAGAGCTTGAGCTCCATCGGGTAGAGGGGCAGACGAGCCTTCGAGGCGAAGGAAGAGGAAAGGAGGCGGAGGAGAAGAAGGGGACGCACAAGGGAACGAGCGAAGGCCAGGGGAGGCCTTAAAACGAGGTCACACCGACGGTGGGGGCCATGGTACAGAGAAGAGTAGGTGCCGTAAGCGACGAGAGAACGGTAGGTGAGCAGCACTCGACTCCGTCGGCGCCGTCGTCACCTCACAGCGCATGTGATAGACATTAAAAAGGAAGGGAAAATTGGTTTTCTCCAAATAATAAGCATTAAAAATATAAATATTTTTTATCTCGAGAATTCGTGAGCATTGCAGTTGGAATATAGGATTCTATCGCACATCAACAGTTCTAAATTGGCAAGGGATAAAGAATTTGAGAGCTATTAAGATGATTAAAGAAGATTTGTGCATATTGAGATGGGGTAAAAAAGATTGTAAGCTCCTGATAGTGTTTGAGTCGAGAATTCTATTGCAGATTGGCAGTGACATAATGGCATGGGATGAAAAGCTTGTGAGATTGCTGAAGGGAGTTCAGACTTCAGTTACGGATTGAGAGTAGTAATGCACTGACACCATCCGGAAGAGTTTTGTAAGCTACTGAGGAAGCTCAGAAGAACTGTAGTTCTGAAATCAGAGTTTTTCTGACAGATTCGCAATGATATACTGACTTGAGATAAAGATAAAAAAAGAGAGTCTTTAATCTACTGACATAGCTAAAAAGGATTACAGTTTTGTGTTCAGATTGACAGTGTTTATTTTGGCATAGGTTCAGAATTCTATCATAATAAATGTTCATGTCAGGATTCCTCCAGATGTGGGAAAAGGATCGGTTGCAGTCCAATTCTGGTTGCCTCCATCTTCAGGCGCTGTTTCTGGGAAACAGCTGAATACTATTGAGCATGAGATGTTGATTTCCAGATGTGGCAGCAAGTCCTGTCAGTAGCCAATCACCCATTGCTGCTGACTCACAGAAGCTTGAAGGGTTCCCCGAGAACAGAAGAGGCCAATGTGAGCTTTCTCTGGTCTGGACATGCTTTCCCGAGCAAGAAGAGGTTTCCTTCAACATGCTTAGTGGGAAACCTCATTTCAGATGATAAGCTTTTGCGTCAAGGAAGAGGATTCATATGACATTAACTTAGCAGCTTCAGGAACAGTGTTTCTCGATAAGAACTCCACCACCAATCCCTTTCAAGAACTGTGCAAGACAGGTTTATACTTTCTCAGCTTTGGATACTGATAAGTCAATAGGTGCAAGCACGAGATCTCATCTATTGTCTTCTTGCAAAGAGATAAGTGATAAATTATTAATTTTTCTTATAATTTTGATTTTATATCCGAGGGATAAGAATGAATGCATGTATCTCTTAAAGTATATTGGATACCTATTTTACTATTTCGAATGAATGTATATATCTCTTATGTCATAGGACGTCTTCTCTTTTAGGTGGATGCATCGGAAGCCTTAAATACTTGTTTATCTTTGGAAGACACGTCATGGGGGATGTCTTAGATTGCATTGGATACTTTTAAAAATTTTTGATCCTAGAAAGATATATTGTGTACAAATTAAATTTTTTGAGGTATAGTTGGTGTCATAACCATGACAATTTTTAAAAGAGAAAATACGTCCGTTAACCCACGTCCCTTATTTCACTTTAGTTTAGGGATAAACGATATCTATATCCGCTTCCTTCAAAAGACTACATCGACTTCTTTACGACAAGACCCCTCTAATGGTTATGCATCCACAAATGACTAAAGCTCGTATGTCTTGATTTAGTATATTTATAATCATCGTATATTATTTTAGTGATTATTGATGTGAGATGTCTAAAGTGAACTTTCGGACTAAATTCGCTAAATTGAATCTCATGATAATATCAAATACATGTGTAATGAGAATAATCGAAGATATTGCAAAGATCCCAAACAAAAGCTGAATGCACATTACAAACAGGCAATGGGGTCTTCTCCTCGGAGTAGATTGAACAAGAAGGAAGGTCCCAAGTTGCACATTTTTAGTGGAGGAATGAATATGTTCATGCCTCCATCCAAATAGAGCTCTAAGATGCTGCTGTGTGTATGTTCTTCCATGTTTTTTGTGTCCCTCTGGAACCATTTCAGCATTGATACCTCATAGAAAAGCTATATAAGATGACTAATCCACATAGGATAGCTAATCTTGGCATTAAGACTTGTATTTATAGAAGGAGATGCTCATCCTTGCCTTTGGTGTAAGTGTTGCTTGTGGCTCTCAAATACAATAAAAGAAGAGTTATAATAGAAACAAATGAATGGAAGAAAATGCAAGTAAAGAAAGGGAAAGAAGTAATAGAAAGATCATTTTGAGTTTTCCTCAAAATCTATCAAGGAAAGAAAAAAAAGAAAGAGTGATATATACATATATTTTTCTTGTGCTTGCAAACTACACACATATATATCTTGAGAAAACATATTTCTTAGAGATAGTTTTTCATTTTTGGATGGATAGCATAAAAGTATTTTCTAGATTAATAAACTGTATAATATGGTTGAAATTTTTGTCATTGGCAGGAAGAAGTACAAATCAGATAAGGTATATTTTGGGTCCAAGACACGTATGTCACGCCACGCTATAGTCGAATCAACAAGGGGAGCACCCCCATATGCCAAGTCAGAATCCGTACCAAGGCACTGTTTGGTACGTCCCATCTCGGAAGCTCGGGACGGCATCGCTTGGAATTGTTCTGCACGTCTCGGGACGGCGACCGCATGAAGGTACCGTGTCAACCCTCGAGGATCAACCACCATACCAACCTGCGTACGACTAACCCTCGTACAGTAGTATAAAAGCCCATGGCCGACATCCGGTCAAAGAGGTAGGAAAAAAGAAAAAGAGAATAACTAACTAACTTGCTCGTCGGAGGAGCCAAAGTCGGGAATCACCCGACGAAGGTCATTTTTTGCAGGAAAACGGCCACCCTTGAGCCGCGAGCGTCTCAACCTAGGAATCGTCATCTAGTGTACGAAGACAAGCTGCCAACCGCCCTAGAGACGGAGAAACGTGACTCAGCATAGACGGCGCCCCGATCGGCACACCGAGAAACACTGATCAACCCCCCATCTCGGGATGGCGACCGACGCCTGGCGCTGGCACTGTTCCGCACGTCTCGGGATGGCGACCGCACGAAGGTACCGTCTCAACCCTCGAGGATCGATCACCATGCCAACCCACGTACGACTGACCCTTGTACAATAGTATAAAAGTCTTTGCTCGACATCCGGCCAGAGAGGTAGAAAAAAAGAAAAAAAGAGGAACCAACTAACTTGCTTGTCGGAGGAGCCAAAGTCAGAAATCACCCGACGAAGGTCATTTTTGCAGGAAAACGATCACCCTTTAGCCATAAGCGTCTCAACCTGGGAATCACCATCTAGTGTATGAAGACGTGCTACCAACTACCCTGGAGACGGAGAGACGTGGCTCAGCATAGACGGTGCCCGGATCGACACACCGAGAAACACTGATCAACCCCCCGTCGCGAGGGCCTGGCAGACCTCGGCATCCAGCTTAGCCGACCGAAGACTCCCGATATCGACCCGTGGATCAGGCCATGCTGACTCATCAGCCACGACACATCTATTCGCCGACAGGTTGCACTCAGACTCAGCCAATGTATTTAGAGAAGGCTGAAAATATTGCAGGTAGTCACAGAGGATTTAGTTGCCGTAAGAAGTAACCCTGTCAGTGTTTGCCTCCACAGTTCATGATAGAGCACCAGTTCAACAGCACTGCAAAGACCATAAATGAATTGCTCATGCTGTTCTTGCCTTTTCTTTCGTTTATGAGAAGTTTTGGATTTGACTTGATCTTATGTTGGTTTCCCAGCAAGTTCAGTAAAAGAGTGCGTCATTCTTGGTGACTGTATGTTGCAAGTCTGCTGCAGGTTCAGAGAAGTGTTTGCTGGATGTTGTGGGTGTGTTCTGTTTAGGTGTGTCTCCGAGACCACTCTCGAGTTCTCCAGATGTGAGTCGATGGATGGTTCATGCTCGGACTGCTGCAGATATGTGGAGGAGAATGCTTCAAGGTTCTGCAAGCAGGCTGAATGGAACACACGAAAAGGTTAAACATATTATCAGCAGGTACACAACACATGAAGCACACAAAGATGTTTTCATCTTGTGCATTGCCTGTTCTTGCACTTTTCTTTCTCCAATGGACATCTTGACTTTATGTCACTTTTCAGATCTACTTTAAAGAAGACTGAAGTCAGTAAAGAATGGTTGGAGATGCTTAAGTTCTGTCTTCTATCAGTTGGTGGGGATCATTGGAGGAGTCTATGGACCTCCTTTCAGGAAAATTATACCAATGCTGACAGCATCATGCACTATGGAAAAGATGATTTTGTTTGACCCAATGAGTGGATTGTACTGCAAGCATTTTTGATTGAGCTTTGGATCTCCTTTCTCTGGTCACTGGAGTTTGGAACGGGAAACAGGTCATTCCCACGATTACTCTGGCCAATCTTTGATCCGACTTCGGAATGCGGATGTCCGTTCGTCTGTAGTTAGCTAGCTCTTGACAGGAAGAGGAAGAAGACTCATGAACCATCACCTCGTCAGTGTTCTTGTTGCAACTCTCGGCACATCTTCCCTTAGTGCTACCGTTCATGCGTCTTATGCCCGGTTGCAGATCTTGGATTAAGGAACCAATCAAAGTTTTGTCAGAAAGGTACACGCCCATGATCTAAAAGAGACTGTGGAGCTAAAGATCATAAAGAGCTCTTACTTATGATGGTCTACGCCACCAATGCCCGGTGACTCCTTTTACTGTGTGTCATGTTCACCACATTCGACATCTCCTCCTGCAGAATCTGAGCAGTAGCTCAAGAGTTCACGGCGAAGATTGCCATCGAAGCATGATGACATTATCTACCCACCCTCCCCGAGTCTCAATCATATGTCCCAGAAACCACACAGCTGGCCGCTGCCTTCACGCCTTGTCTATGACTAAGCTGTAGCAGGTCATCATCTTAAACAGACACAGGACACGCAGCTGGATGAGGCTCAATGAGGATGTTGGATGTCCTAAGAGCCTTTTTTTTATCTACTGCAGTGATATGAAGCAGAGATGTTCATCATCCGAAGCAGTCCTTTTTCGGATGGCAACCCACACATGGATCCGAGGCCCTGTCGATCACCACCGAAGGACAATTAATTCCAGACCTAACGACGGGACTAAACAAGCGTTGCATCACAGCCACAGGAGTCTTCCATAAATACTAGTAAAAGGCTTTCCCATTACCAGCTCCCCCTGTAACATCTTCTAACAGGGGAGGATGGTAGAGGGAGAGGGAGACAGGCCTTGCAATGGTCTGATGTGGTAATTACATGCCATACAAGATGGCATTCCCACTTCCACCCAAAATGTTTTCGGCCTCTTTTGGGATGCCTTCCGTCTCAGTGGGCCCCACATCATCAGGCCACCATTTGGCAGCGGCATCAGCAACAGAACATAGGATCCGACGAAGACAAGAGAGAACCCATCACAAAATCTTGTCATAAATCGAGTGCTAAATCACCTTCTGTACCATAATCCAAGTTGTTAGCGATTAGAGGAAAGGTAAAAAAGACTGGGATGTTTCCTTGAAACTGCAGACGTCAGGTGGAAGGCAGTGGCTGTGTGGTGTTCTGCTTTTGTGTTGGGAGGGTGGGAGGGAGGGAGGAGGAGAGAATCTCTGAGCCTGCAATGAAAATAAAATAAAAAATCCTATTTTGATCGCTTCTCCCGGAACCCGATAAAGGATAGTCACTGGAAAGGAGGAGAAGGCAATCAACGGAGACACAGGGAGGTGGAAAAGGCAGAGAATCAAAAGACCAGATGCGGACAAATTTCCTGTCACTGTTGTTCTTAGAAGGTCGTTCGTTCTTGTGAGAGATTTTTCCTCTATCTCGGATCTCTCTCTCTCGTCTACCTTTCCTTGTGGCCCAGGGACTCGAAATCACTCGATCCGCGGCTGCGCCCGGTGCCTATGGCCAATTCCAGGTGCCCATTTCTTCTTCTTTAGCGCATTTCGATCCCAAAAATTCGATCTTTTTGGCGGAGCCTTTGCTGTTCTTGGTGGCGCTACTGTCCTTTGGCGTTGCTTGTCGTCTCCTGGATTGCTGCAGCCGCGGCCGGCGCTCGAACGGGCGGGGCACTTGGAGATTTGGCGTTTTCCATGGCGGAAGGCCTGCGGCCGCTTGAATTCTCGGTGTTCCGCGTCCTGATGCTGAATCCGCTTCAGCAATGTTCGCAAGCTGGACGGGGAGGACAGGTGATGTGGGCTGAGGTAATTTATTTCTGGTTCATCTGTGTGTATTATATTTTCTTGATTAGGTGGTTTCTTGACTTGGATTATGATAGATTCTTTGATATCTGTACTTTTGGCTTGAGGTCGTTGGACTTTTGCTATGTTCCTCCTTCTTGTTTGTGTGGATTTCCTTATGATGTAGGATTTTGAGAGCATGTTTTAACTTAATTCTTGTTTCGTTAGAGTGGAAGACATGTTTTGTCAGATTGTTAGATTGTCTCAATTCATGATGTGTTTGGTTTAAGCCTCTTTCCTCTATGCCAATTTGCCTTTTTTTTTTCTCTTTTTGTTGAGACGATGGATTTTCTTTGTGATGGTCTGCGGCGTGAGGATTGGGTTCAAAATAAACGGATTTGCTCATCTTAAGTTGCTGACCTCGAGATTAAATATCTCATGTACCTTCTCTGTGATTTTACAAGAATCTTCTTTGTTGTTACACTTTACTAATTGAAGTATCTCTTAATTTGGATTCGGATAATGATGCATGCGAGGATTTTGTATACTTAGGGTGCCGAAGCCTGAAGTTCAATTAAATTTGGAAATTATACTTCCTTCTGCACTGCCTGCTACAAAATCTTCAGTTAATTGCTGCAGCGATGTCGAACAATTCTGCAATCAGCATTTGATGGGATTCACATCAATGTGGCTACAGTCTGTTGCTAATACGATTGGTAATTCCCAATGTCCCATTCTTTTGAGCTAGATTCTAGTTTCTATAAGCTTGTAGAGTGTTACTTCATGTAGGCAGTTGTTAGCATAAGGCTTTCTATCTCAACATTCTTTTATATAAATTCCTATGTATCATCTGTAGTGACAACTATGCTGTCTTTGCATGCTTTTCTTGTGCCATAACCTTTTTAGTGATCTTCTATGACGGTGTCATTATGGGCTTGGGAATCATTTGCAAGTGTTGCAGTTGAACATTGTCGCTCCAGGCATATCTTATCTTTTCCTGGATTCACATATTCATATGTTTAGCTGCTAGATCTGCGACATATATTTGGGGCGTAATGTTGTATGATAATGTGGATGTATTTTTTTTTTCATCATTAACAACTATTATTTTCTTTGATAATGTGGAGAAGGTGGTGGTTCATTTTATCCCTTTTCTCCATTGCAAAATTTCCATCTTGTTAACGGCCAGATGAATCTCCTAAGGGCGAAGGGATAACTTATGCTTTTATGTTGAACATGAAATGTACGTAAAATTTGCAAAACTGACATTATTGTACTAATTTATTTATGCCGAATGAAAGAACTTTTGACATTCCAGTGTTCGTCATTCTCTACTGTCCACTTTTTTCTTTTTTCTAGACAAGGAATTCTATCATGAATCTTTTTTATTCCATATTCTTGCTATGCTGACTGGTTTTACAACTTGCAGAAATGGCGACAAAAGTGCAGAGTAAAAATTACCTTCCAGGGTATCATTCCATGCAGGATATTAAGGAGGATGCACCAAGTAGTTGGTCTAGTTATTATAAGGACAAAAAGTTTAGCGATCATCTCTACAACACTTACGTGTCAAGGTTGACAAATGGACACTTAGAAGATGATAAAGAAATGATAAAGCGGATGATGCTTGAACATGAAGCTATATTTAGGAAGCAGGTAAAGATATTAATGTTCTTCATATTTGTTTGAGAAAGAAATGATCTCAGGTTGAGTCAAAAATTCCATCTCAACCTGTACTATTCTTGGGTTGCACCTTATCTCTGTTTTTTGGGTGAAATGACTTGATTGTTATATCTCATCTCTGCTTGATGGTTTGGAAATAATAGTCTCAAAAATATAGTTTTGTTTACATCAAATTTGTGTTGAAGTGTTCTAGTCAACTGTCCTGGTCGATTTGGGTACATTAAGCTCTAGAATATGACCACATAGTGATCATTATTAGCTGAAATGAGTTGCCATTATGTCACAGAGGGATTTCATCATATATTCTGGGAGAAAACTTTTCAAATCCGCTAAATTACAAGTTTCAACTTGAGACATATTTCTTATCATATTTGTCGGTCAGGTTGAAGGAATCGGTTTTAGCTGCAGATGGCTTCAAAAAAAGAAAAAATGAAAATCCTCCTCGATGTATTCTTAATTATCTTTTAACTGGAAGCTTTTCTTGTTCCAAACAGATATTGAGATGCATGTTGTATCTTTAAAATTCTCACCTGATTACTTATTTAGCATGAGGATAGGAGCAGTTAAAGCTTATTTTGCCTAAGAGACTCATTGATATGTTTATATGTTGATAAAATAATTAATATATGATAAATATCACTTATATGATTCAATCAAGGATAATACAGATTGCTTACCTAGTACATTAAAAATTAACATACTCTATTTTGACTTTTGTCTTGCTTTTGCAGATTGCCTCAACTCTTGAATAGTTTTGATTAAATGATTTCTTTTACGAATGTATCCCTTTTTGAAGATTTGTACAAATACCTAAATTATTTTGTCTGGTACTCTCTTATTTGGATTCGTTTGCAAACTCTAAAAGGCAGAAAGTGCCCGCTGCTCCTGTTTTTCACAACTAGAGCATTTTAATATATAGATCAAGGTCCAGAACCTGATGTAGCTCAATCTTGAGATACTACAATGTAATCCATCTACATTTTCGTCCTAAAATGTAGATTCCTGAAAATTCTTCTTTTTGATTCTGGAATAGGATAGCCTTTGGTAGCTATTTTTATCCCACCAAAGTTCCAACTTCCATGTTATTATTCACTTCCGTTTGTTTGAAAAATCCACTATTTTCTGTAGCAATTGTACTTGCAAGTTAAAGAGGAACGCTTATTTGGAGGAGACTTTCTGTTCTGTTTTTTGGTTAAATATTGGTCTTAAGTTGTATAGGGTTAAGGAAGTCAAAACCAAAATAGTATAGCATAAGGGAACCTGGAAAACAAGATTGTTATCGGGAAGAAGTAGGCCCTCTTCCTTTTTCATCTGATATTATTCCAGAATTAAGCTTAGCCTAACACTGCAGACTGAATTACCTATAAGTTTAATTGCTGTGCAAGCACATGCACATGCAGACTGTCCAAAACAAGAAAACAAAGGAATGCCATGCATATGTCACCACCCAATATTCAACTGTACACTTTATGTAGATAGGCTGCACTTGGAGAGGAAAGCAAATAAACATATTTTGCCTCTCTTATTACTTTCAAGCTTTTGATGTGTTCTTCTGTAATAATTGTTGTTTCACTTGCCATTCAGGTCTACGAGCTCCATCGTCTTTATAGAATACAGAAAGACCTGATGACTGAGATTCAAACTAGAGGGTTTTATGGATCATCCATACCGGCAGAAGCCTCACTATCAAGTTCTCTTTCATCTCAAATGTGTTCTGAGTGTACCCAAAAGATACCACAGATGTCTCACCTTACTGTAGGAAACACCAGTCATGGAAAGACACATTTTTCAGGCAATGGGAGGTCCCACTTCAGTGTCACAAGGGAAGGTAGCACTCAATCTGATCAGATCCCATTAGACAATGGAGTTTTACTAAAGGACAGCAAGGCACCTGACCACAAACCTCAAAAGAAAAGAACGTTTGACCTTCAACTTCCAGCTGATGTATATATAGACGTTGAAGATACTGATGGAGCCGGGCAGATGAGTACTGTTGAGTCATCACATAGTGCTAGTATTTTCAAGAACAGGAATTGCTTTCTCTATGAGAATGATGTGAAGCTCACTCTAGGGAGTGCTCGCACAGAAGAACATCAGATCCCAAATTCACCAACACAAGTTGGTATATCAGCCTGCAGCACAGTTGATCTAAATAAACCTACAACAGAAATATGTTGTGAAAGTCCAGAAAATTCGGCTTCTGTTCAATTATTTGGCTTGAAGTCTCGCAGCGAACGGAATCAAGGGAACCATCCATCTACAAAATCGAAGACTAGTTTTGTTGAGAGGCATGGCAAACAACAGACTACTTCTGACCTCTTGTATACGGATGGACATACAAAAAGAGAATGGCCAGTTTTCAATCATGAACCTGGTAATGTTTTGATCTCCTAAACTTGTTTACTTAGTCCTAATTTTTTACTTGGCCTAAACCATCATATTGATCAGATATCTTGTTTGAGTAGGCATCATCTCCAACATTTGTCAAAAAAAAAGAAAAACAGACAACCTTGCATATTTAACTGTCTGCATTGGATGTTTGTCTTCATGAATTTGATTGCATGGTTACTGTAGACCATCTGTATGCAAAGATGTCATGTCTTCTCCAACCAATCACGAGCCTGATAGGTTGCATTAGTAGCTGATGACCAGCACTATACTTGCTAGCACATGTATAAACATGTACATATGATGGACATACACTTCAAGCGACCGGCATATACGGTGTGTGTCTATTGGTGGATTGAACTCATGGGACTGACTATGAAGAAAGTTGAAAGTAAATGAGACAAACATGTTTCTTGTGATCCAATTGTTTTTTTAGAATATTACCGCAGTATGTTAAGTAATTATAATATGATAAGCACAGAATATTCAGCCAAATTGTACAATTTTTTAACTGCATAATATTTGTTTATTGATCCCCCGAAACCCAAATTGCTGGCAACGTCGTGCATTGATCGACCCTTTTTTAACCAATTGTACAGTCCTTTCATGTGCAACCAAATGCTAGTCTGCCTATCCTTTTGTTTTTTATTCTGTTTTCACTGTTATCTTTTTTATTGTGTTAAAGCATAATTTAGATCCTGCTTTAATATTTAGCTAGTTATGCTTTCTTAATTGCTGGAGACTTTTTTTTTTCTCATACTCAATATTTTGGTAATTTGTATACAGAAAAAAATAGGAGCACTCTGGATTATTTTGCTCAGGTTCCAACATCATCTGAAACATTACAAGTGAACACTAAGAAACGTCACAATTTCTTTACATTTGACCATAATAATCCAGAAACACAGTCTAGACAAGAGCCAACTCACAATATCCATACATGTCCGAGAGTGCCTCATTTTGCCTGCTCAAATCCATCTCTGATGTCTCCCTCGATGCCTTCTACAATCACAACTCCCCAGGCCGATTTAATCAGTTGTGCATCTTCATTTGTTTCATCTTGGAGAAAACCTGTTACCAGCATAAACAACACCCCGGTTGCGGTTCGAGCTCTTCCATGCTTCAGTGGGTCATCAAACTTCAGTAATGAGAGCTTGAGTTCCAAGATAGATGTCACTAGTCAAAAGCGGCAAAGTCGTAGGAACCTGGCCACAAGCCTAGGTTCTGGTGTTAGGGTGCCTCACAAAAATGGATTTCACCATGGTCTTCACCTGGATTGTAATTCTGCACCACATACAGAAGTTGCATTTTGTAAGCCATATCAGATTGATGACAGTCACAGAGATCTTCATGATCATTTACCTAGAGACTACGTAAAGTGTTACCAAAGCAGGGATTTGAAAGTCCCGATAAACCTGAACCTGAATCAAGCGTTTCCAAGTGGTACTGAAGATAGGCTTACTCTCAGACAAGAAACAGTTATTTATGTTGATGATAAAATGCCAGGGGATCCATCATGTCTCAGAAACAAAGCATCTTCCAATGAGTCTGTTAACTTGAAGAAACATGACTACAGAGAAGATTGTCAGCTCACTTCCAGCTCCAATGTTGCTTCTGAAATCCAGAAGAAAGAGGAGTTAGAATTTTCTGTATGTAACCTACAGGAAGTTGCATCAACTTCACAGTTTCAGTATCACGGAATGCAGGGAAACTTCGTTTCTGGTAACAATGGGAAAAGACTTCTTGGTTTTCCTATTCATGATACAATTCAGCAAAGCGGCATATCTGTTTCTATCCAACAAATGGAAAAACATTTTACTGACAATACTAAGATTCTGAAGAATGATATCATTGACTTGACTTGTGATGCAAAAGCGGTGAATTCACAGGAAAAATTCCACAATAGTGATTCGGTCACCGAAATGTGTGGCAGAAACAGAGGTGCAAACTTAAGGAAACACATTAATCTTAATGTTGAATTTTCATGTACAGATGATCCTATATTTCTGGAGGTATCACCTCAAGATGAACTAGAGGTTCAGTCATCAAACTCTATTCCAACTTTAGCTGCTAAAATTGACATTGATTTTGAAGCACCCATTTCCCAGGTTGAAATGGCTACCGTAAGTCCGCATAAATACATCCCGTCAAGCAAGAAAGATGTCTTGAAGGAAAAGGTCTCTTCCAGTGGTATACTTGATAGACTGGCTGCAGAGAATTTAGTTGCCATGTCACTTGAATGCAATGGCCACCCAGATGAAATCAATTCTCACCTGCCATCTCTGCCTCGATTTGACACCTTGTGTTGGTTTGCTGACGTATCCTGCAACGCAGAAAAGCGAGAGCATTTGGGTGATGAGGGAGATGATGGTACTCAATTTTTTGATGATGATGGTCTGGATCTCTTTGAGGCCATGACACTGAAGCTCCAGGAAACTAAGATGGATCAGTATCGGTATAGATCAGAGGATCTCGAGAGCAAAGATGGGAAGGAAGACAAAAAAGATTCAGGTGCAGCTTCACTGCTTTTCACAAGGGCTCGGCGTGGCCAGGCAAGAAAGAGGAGGCAGCGGCGGGACTTCCAGAAAGATATCCTGCCGGGTCTTGCATCACTGTCAAGACACGAAATAACAGAGGATCTTCAAACTATTGGAGGGATGATGAAATTATCAGGTATGCATTGGCAGACAGGTTTAACGAGACGAAACATGGGTCGAAATGGAGCAAACTCCCAAACGAAGGGAAGGAGGCAGCTCGAAAGCCCAGCCACCGCCACCGCCACCGAGGAGGTTCGAATCAGCCTCCATCCACCATCACAACCCAGCAACTCTGAGATAGGAGTGGATGGAAGAAGCATGATTGGATGGGGAAGGACGACAAGGCGATGCCGTAGGCAGAGATGCCTTCCTGGTGATCTTTCTGCTCCTTTGACATAGGAAGGAGCATCATATTTGCTGTGCTTGTTTTATAGAGGAATTCAGACTAGTTTCTTAATGGCACAGATGGAAGATGCTTGTTCATGAAATGTGGTTTCATATATGTCTATTGATTCTGATTTGCTCTTGGTCCTACTTATAACAGCTTGTACATTCCATAATAAATGCTGCATCATACCACATGAAACAGCCAAGAACATGCAACTGAGGGACTAGATTTGTTAGGAAGATCCCATGAAGCCTATGCTTCTTTATAGTAGGGAACACTTGAGATGAAGTAATGTTCTACCTCCCTCTTCTTTTATTTGTTGCTGTTGCAATGGTATGTGTTCTATGAACTTTGTGCTAAAAGAAATGCTTTATAATTCCCATTTTTTATGACACTTTTTCTCATCAAGTATAGATTCATGGATGTTTAATTGGCTAAAAATCATGTCTTTTCATCACTTATGGAGAGAGTGAGTACATGAATATATTTTTTATGTATTCTTATGGAGAGAGTTGATGTAGCTTAATCAATCTCAAATATCCTTTAATATCTTAAGGTTCCTACATTTATTATTTTTTTTTTAAAAAAAGAAAATCTTCTAATATCGATCCAAGCATCTCTTAACAATTAATTAGAGAAATTTATAACTTCAAAATCATTTTGGATTCGTTTCTATATATATATATGTGTAAATCATTTATGAGCAGTATGTACGGAGAAAAAGACAATTAAAATTGGGAACCATGTTAAGAAACCTGACTCAATTATCATTCGGATCTGGTCCCAAATCTTGATGCCACACCCCGCACGTCATCCATTCGGGGCCCAGTGTTTTTTTTATTATTTATGAGCAATTCTGTACACCCGCACGGTGACTCGCGGATCAATGTGGAGCCCGCCTCGGAACACAGGGGTGATTTTGTTCGAAAAGTATTTTTTGTTGGTTTTCCTTGGAACTGGAAGCAAACAAGGGAGTCCCCACGCGCCAACGCACGTGCGGGGACCGTCGCATCCCCATGAGGTCCCCTCCTTGAACGCGCGATTGCTCGATCTACCCGTCTCTCGCCACCCGTTCGGTACCCGTGCGCTGAGTGGTGAATGTGCGTCTCAACCGTGAGTGCAGACCGAGTGCGTACGTCCCCGTCTGGGGGTACGAATGAGGATTTCATTTGGTTAAATTTATGAAGCTAACGAAAGGGCCCCACGCCAGGAAGCGGGTAAAGACCCGACACGTCAACGAATGCAACGCGCTGTGAGAGGTTCATCAGCTGAGCTGGCCTATTTAGCCTCCTAATCTCTGGGGAAAATAAAAGGATTAAAAGAAGGAAACGTAGCAAGGAGAACGCCGCCGTTAACCACCTCCAAATCGCCGATCTCCCCTCCTCTTCCTCTTCTTGCCCTCGTGCTATTCTGAAACCCTAACCGATCCCCGCGTTCCCCCCTCCCAACAATTCTATCCTATTTCCTCGTTTTGCCTCTCGGGCACTCTGGTTCGCCCCCCTGGTCCCGTTTCTTGATCCCGTCTTCGCGTGGCATTGGCGCCGGCGTGGTCGTAGGCCGACGGAGACCTCGAATTTGGATCGGACGGGCGGAGCCACGGCCGCCGGTGGCGGCGCCGGCGGATGGCGCTCTTCAGGAGGCTCTTCTACCGGAAGCCGCCCGATCGGCTTCTGGAAATTACCGAGAGGGTCTACGGTAATCGCTTTCCCTACCATTTTGCACTTTTCTGATCCTGGAAGCTCGATTCTCTATGCGCGTCTTGCCCGTCGTTTTAGAATGAGGAAGTGACCAATTTATAGGGCTTCCATTTCTGTTATCGACGAATGCCAACCTTTTTTGGTAGTTATCCCGGTGCTTATATGCCATTGGAAGTCTTTCTGAATTTGTTGTGAAACCGTGGATGTCCCTTTTCGTGTGAACACCTTGGAGCAATTTGTGATTTTTAGTTATTTTCGATGTTATCTGCATTTATGACACAACAATTAACGTGCTTGCCGGAGACTTTGATTACTGGAACCTTTACGTTTGTGCAACTTCCATTTCAAGTGGGGTTAAGTCGATACTACTTGATACTTCACGACAATGTTGCTAGTGTTTTGGCTTCTTGGTTCTCTTTTGAATTTTTTTGCATGCACTAGATCTCTCCACTTGCTGCTTCAGAATGGTGGCTAGTTCTTTCTTTTTCTTATTGAAATCCTTTTCGTGCATGAATTTAATTAAGTTTTATTTGAAACTAGTCTCATAACCTCAGATCTAAATTGGCTTTTACTTATTATTCGTCTAACAAGATCCTGGCTGCCACACACAGATTATGAAAGTATGCTTATCTTGTCGTTTGTTCTTTGACAATTAGAGATTCCACCCAATTGACTCTTTGCACTTGCAGTGTTTGATTGTTGCTTTTCTTCGGATATTATGGAAGAAGATGATTACAGGAAGTACATGGATGACATTGTTACTCAACTTCATGAGCATTTCCCTGATGCTTCATTTTTGGTAATCAACTTCAAGGGTGAAGTCGAGAGCAAAATTTCAGATATCTTGGCCCAATATGGCATCACTGTCAGGGGGTACCCTCGCCATTATGAAGGGTGTCCAGTGCTTCCTTTGGAGATAATTCACCACTTCTTGAGGTTATGTGAGAACTGGCTAACTTTGGAAAGGCAGCAAAATGTCTTGCTAATGCATTGTGAGAGAGGAGGATGGCCTATTCTTGCATTTATGCTTGCAAGTCTTCTGCTTTACAGGAAACATTACAGCGGGGAACAAAGGACTCTGGAAATGGTGTATAAGCAGGCTCCGAAGGAGCTCCTTCAGATTTTGTGTCCATTGAACCCACAATCTTCGCATCTTAGATATCTCCAATACATAACTAGAATAGGCAGTGAGACATGGCCTCCGCAGGATACTCCTTTCACATTGGATTGCCTAATTCTGAGAGTTATTCCGAATATTGATGGAGAAGGGGGTTGCAGGCCTATAGTACGTGTCTATGGTCAAGACCCTCTGTTCCCAGCTGACAGGAGTTCTAAGGTTCTTTTCTCGACAGCAAAGACAAAGAAACATGTTCAGCATTTCAGACAGGTAAACCTTAATTCCTGGACTAAATGATGCCACTATTCTGAAAAAAAAAAATTAGTTTCTCTGTTTCTCATGTAACTGCAGGCCGAGGATGCACCAATAAAATTAAATGTCCGCTGCTGTGTTCAAGGTGATCTGGTCCTTGAATGCATCAATGTGGATGAGTATCTGGAAGATGAGGAGCTAATGTTCAGGGTAATGTTCAACACGGCCTTTATCCAGTCTCATATTTTGCTGTTGAATCCTGAGGATATAGACATTCCTTGGGAAGCTGAAGACCACTTCTCGAAGGACTTCAAAGCAGAGGTAGGGTTGTCTTCTTTTACTAACACAGAGGGATGTTCTTTTTTACCCATACTGTGGGGTTGAAAGCACTTCGTTCCTGAACCAGGTACTCTTTTCAGAGTTTGATGCTGAGTCTGATACTTCCACGGGAACAGGAGCAACGGATGAGGTTGAGATGGAAGTTGGCTCAACAGAGGAGTTCTTCGAGGCAGAAGAGATCTTCAGCAGCCCTGACTGGCATGATGGACAGAAGGATCTCGATATTCAGACAGCTGTATTTTCAAACACACTAGAAACTTTCAGTCCAAGATCTGAAATGTCAAATCCTGAAGCTGATGGAAGGAGCCAGTTAGAATCTTTTTATTCTGAACAAGTGACTCTTGTGGATGAAGAAACTCTGGTTCTAGATGCACTTACAGGGGTAAGCATGGACTTAGACCATGCTGATCATGAAAATAACCCTGGTGTAAAGGCATTGAACACTCTGGATGATATGTTTAATGAAGCAAAGAGCACGACTTTGGCAGGTGAAGAGAGTACATCAGACAACTCCAAACAGGATACTACTGACAACATTAGTCTAGCAGTTGAAGAGATAACCTCATCAGCGAGTAGCAGTTTTGAACAGGATAGAGTATGGCAAAGGGCAATATTGACTTCAGATCATGTGGCTCATGAATTAGGGGTCTCATTTTTGGCAGATGACCAAATGAGCAGCCGAAGTGTTAGAGATTCCATAGAGGATACAGGGAATAATTCAGATGAAGTTAGATGCAAAGTAGAAATGTGTGATGTCACAGATAATACAAGAAACTTTGCCACTGAAAATAGGACAGATTCTGGGTTAGCATATCAGAGGTTGGATTCTGATATTGAAGTCCAGAATTCTGAGAAGCTCAAGCATCATATGTCAAATGAAGCACTTACAGTCGACATTGGACAATCTCCTTTCTCAGTTTTATACAAAGAGAAGGATGAAAAGCCAGAGCCATTAGGCAATTCCATAGAATTATTAAACAAAAGGACAATATCTCAGTCATTCCATCCAAGCCGAGGCATCGATGCGATTTTGGTGGATGCATCATCTCAACCTGAAATTCAATTTGCAGGAAAAACTGTAAGTACATCCAGAGTTACTGCTACAAGTATGACAATAACTGGTTCGTCTCCAGCAGAACCATTGTCACCACCTTCAACTGAGGCACTTCTTGAGGCATCATCTACTCCATGTACAGGTCCTCTTTTTGTTTCAATACAACCATCCAACTCACCCACTCTTTCGGTTGCTTCACCTCTTTCATCCACACCTCCACCTCCACCTCTGCCTCCACCTCCATCTTCACCACATATATATTCACGAATTAGGAGAAAAGTCCCTCCCCATCCATCATTGCTTGCCTCCTATGGAGCCTTGTCATTTGCTCTATCTCGACCTTTACAAATACATGATGTATTCCAAAATCCTGACCAACATCTTGAACCTCAAATGATATGTGATTCTGTTGCCATAAGTGCTACTTCATCTTCACATTTACCTCACCAACCTCCATCCATGCAACTAGACTCTTTGTCGTTGCCTCCTTTGTTACCTTCTCAAGGCCAATCACTCCCTTCACCTCATCATCTGTCTCATTCATCGCCACCTACAGCTATAATACCATCCTCCAACTATCCCCTAGAACTTTCCCCTCCCCTTGCTTCAAGTACTCTTTTTCCACCATCCCCTCATTCTAGTAACACCATATATGACCCTTCACATCTCTCATCAACAGAGCCTGAAAGTGGATTAAACAAAATCTCTGATCCTTCTCCCCCTACCTCACTTCCTTCCTCATCTCCTCCTGGACAAAATGTTGACATATTCATTTCTCCTCTGTCAAATTTATCCACAAAAAATGATCCATTTGATCCACCACCAGTAGCTGCTTCACCACCACCAAATACAATTTGGCATAACATACCAATGTTTGCTAACATTACACTGTCTGATCCACCTTTTACTCATGGAGGTGCCTCACCAACATGTTCACTCCATGATGCAAGCAAGGAAGTTCTAGCAGCATCACAAGATTTTGCATCATATTCATGTTCTCTACAACTATCACCATCTAAGGCTATATGTAAAGGCGTTCCACCTCCATCTCCACCTCCTCCCCCTCATCCGACAACTCCACCTAGACCTCAACATCCACCTCCTCCACCACCTCCATTAGGCCTCCCTGAACCACATACAAGAGCAACACCTCTAACTTTATCCCCACCTCCACCTCCAACAAATTCCCACAGAGCACATATAAGAGTTCCTCCTCCACCTCCACCTCCATTGCTCCCTCCAACTCTAAGAGATCTCCCTAAAGGACATATAAGATCTCCATCATCCTCTTATCTGGAAGTTGACAAAAGCTCATTGATTTTACCAACATCTCTACCTCCTCAAGCAGATGAACATGGAATTGCTCCAAATCCAAAACCATTCACTATAGTACATGAAACAACCACACCTGCAACCTCTTCTCCCATGGAACATATAATGTCTCCTCCACCACCTCAGGGAGCCTCACTTCGATTGCCATTAATTGGAGAAAATGGGAAGGCTCCACCGCCACCATCTTTTCTTGAAAATTTTGGGCAATCTCCACATCCACCATCTCTTCCTGGAAGTTATGAACGACCTCCACCTCCGCCACCTCCACCACCTCCCCTTCGATGTTGTGGAGGAGCATCTTTGCCACCTTTACTTGGAGATACTAGTGAAGCACCATCTTCACTATCATTCGTTGGAGCATTCGAGAAAGCTCAAAGCCCACCACTTCACCCAAAAGATCATATGCAAGATCCACCTCCAGAACCACCCCCTCCACCGCCTCCCCCAGGAGGAGGTCTATTTGCTCCTTCACCTCTATTGCTTCACCTTAAAGGAGGTCTGGGAGGCATATCCATTCCTCTACTTTCGGCACCTCATCTTGGAGGACACCATGTAGGTGTACCTATTCCACCTCCACCACCTCCCCTTAGAGATGTGATCTCTCCACCTTTACTATCACACCATAGAGTTGTATATGCTCCTCTATCTACCCGCGGAGGTGTATCAACTGATTTGTCTTCTCCCATGGTTCAGAGAGGTGTATCAGCTCCTCCACCTTCGTCGTCTCCCTCTGGAGGTGTATCTTGTCCTCCACCTCCACCCCCACTTCCAAGTCCACCTCCTAGTGATGTATTCATTTCACCTTCACAGCCTCCTTCTAGAGTTGTATCTATTTCTCCACTATCGTCGCCTCCCTTTGGAGTTGTACATGCTCATCCTCCGCCCCCTCCACCCCATCCACCGCCTTTGGCCCCACCTCCACCACATTCAATCCCACCTCCTATTGATGTATTTATTTCACCTCCGCAGCCCCCTTCTCAATTTGTATCTATTCCATCGCTGTCGCCTTCCACTGGAGTTGTACATGCTCATCCTCCACCACTTTCACCTCCACCGCCTCCATCTGGAGTTGTAGTTGCTCATCCTCCACCACCTCCACCTCTGCCGCCTCCCTTCAGAGTTCTAGTTGCTCATGTTCCACCACCGCCACCTCTATCGCCTCCCTTTGGAGTTATAGTTGCTCATCCTCCACCACCTTCACCTCCAACTCCACCACCTCCACCTCTACCTCCACCTCCACCTCCATTGCCATCCTTTGGAGTTGTATCTCCTCTGTCGCCATCCTCTGGAGTTGTATCTCCTCCTTCACCGTGGCCTCCCCTTGGAGGAGCCATGTCTACTCCTCCGCTGCCACCGCCTCCTCCTAAAGGAGTTGTGTTTGCTCCTCCTATGTCGCCTCCCTCTAGAGCAAGTGTATCCACTCCTCCGCTGCCTCCCCTTGGAAGTGTATCCACTCCTCCACCTTCACTGCCTCCTCTCGGAGGAGATGTATCTACACCTCCACCTCCACCTCCGCCTCCACCTCCATCGCCTTCCCTTGGAGCAAATGTATGTACCCCTCCACCTCCACCTCCACCTCCGCCATCATTGTCTCCTTCTGAAGGAGGTGTATTTGCTCCACCTACAACACCTCCTCCTAGAGGAGGTGTATTCGCACCACCACCTCCACCGCCTCCCATTGGAGGAGGTGTATTTGCACCACCCCCTCCACCGCCTCCCCTTGGAGAAGGTGTAGTCACATCGCCACCTCCACCACCTCCCCCTGGAGGAGGTGTAGTCACACCGCCACCTCCATCGCCTCTCGTTGGAGGAGGTGTAGTCGCGCCGCCACCTCCACCGCCTCCCCTTGGAGGGGGCGTATTTGTGCAACCACCACCTCCTCCGCCTACCCCTGGAGGAGGTGTATTCGTGACACCACCTCCACCGCCTCCCCCAGGAGGAGGTGTATTTGCTCCACCTACACTTCCTCCCCCCGGAGGAGGTGGGCAAGCTCCACCTCCACCGCCTCCCCCTGGAGGTGTATTTGCTCCACCTCCGCCACCTCTCCCCGGAGGCTGTGGGCAAGCTCCACCTCCTCCACCTCCTCCTGGAGGAGTTGTGTCTACTCCTCCACCTCCACCTAGGGCTCCTGGTGCTCCACCCCCACCAAGGGCTCCAGGTGCTCCACCTCCACCTGGGGCTCCAGGTGCTCCTCCGCCTCCTCAAGCTGGCATAAGAGGCTTACCTCCAAATTCCATGGTTGGGGGAAGGGGAAACATGCTTGCACGTCCTGGAGGACCAGGTATGTCAGCAGCCCGAAGGTCACCATTTAAGCCATTGCATTGGGTGAAAGTATCAAGAGCCATGCAAGGAAGCTTATGGGCCGAGTTACAGAAACATGCTGATGCTCACAGGTATCTCTATTTTACAATTGCTGATCTGGTGTATCAAAATTTTTTGTCATCTTACGTTTCTTGATACCAACCACCAAATGAGTATAGGAATATTATTCTGGAGTTTCTAACAAACATTTATTGGTTAAAAGCTATTTCTGAGATGCCAAAACTTATGTCTTATTTTGTACTTTGGTATGTTTTTAACTTCTTATTAATATTTAGAATTATAGGTTACCTTTATTCTCAGCTGCAAACTTATTCTTTACATCTGCTTCCTAAAAAGCCAACCTTTTGAATACAGCACTTCAGAATTTGATGTGTCAGAACTTGAAAGTCTCTTCTCTGCAGTAGTTCCAAAGTCAAAGGATAGCTCAAAATCTGACGGCCGACAAAAATCTGCTGGATCTAAATCTGATAAAGTTCACCTGGTAACTCTTTGGAGCATAGTACCTACTGCCAAATAGCTACTACAAGATTTGTCAATTTTAGTAACTTCTTTTCATGTTGTAACTTATGCTGTATGCTGTAGGCTCCTAGCAGTAGCTTGAAGGACTTGTGTGGTCCATGCAGCCATTTCCTATCATGTACATTATAATGTCTAATTGGCAACTCTAAATTGTTATCCTTTTATACGTCATGCATCACCAGGAGAACTCAAGACGTGGTAAATGTGAAAGAAAATGGTACCTGACTACAAAGAAGGGGAAAAATGAGCATAATCTAGTCAAGTTAATAATATTAATTTATGCTAAGTTGTTTTGTTGCTTTGACTTTCTGCAACGTTAGTATTGTTAAATTGGTTATTGGTATGGGAAAGCACAGATCAAATTGGATAATTTTAATACCTAATCAACCAAACTGTCCATAGTTGCTGAATTTTTGTTAGTATACATTCAATAAGGATTTATCTTTTGCTGATACTTTGTCATAAATTATGAAAGTTTAAAATCATTGTCTGATATTATTTTGATCTCTTGTCGGCTAGTATGGGAATACGAACTGGTATACAAGGTGGTATAGCAATCTGTATTATCCTGTATTACTAAAAAGATGATAAAATGTGGAGACTGTCTGATACTGAGATATTGATCCTGTACTGGTTCTTGGTCAGACAAGTAAATACTGGTCAACACATATCAGTCCAACTAGTAATTGAAACCCTAATTCTGAAAAATAGAACCTGATAAATTATTGCATTTACTTTTTGCACTGAAAAATTGCAACTGAAGTCTGACCTCAATTTGGATTTCTGCAACTCCAACATATGCATTTGTTCACATTCTTTGGTTCCATGTAATCATACATGAGTCTGCTTTTGCATTTGGAATAGAGGTCTTTGCATTTTGATGTGCAACTAGGGAACAAGCATGTTAAATTGTGGATTACAACTTAAGGCTGCAACTGACGATACCTATTTGGACTTCTGTCATCTCTTTGACCATTGACTGACTATCACTGTTTTTCTTGCCACTTAATTTGGCCATGGTCATCCATCCTGAACACTGCCATATAGTTACCTACCATGGTTATTGTTGCTTCATTCACGTGTTACTACTGTCCAACTACAATCCATTTTGGCCATCACCACCTTTCAGGCATTCACCTTGACCATCATCATCCCTCTTCTAGCTGCTCATCACCAGTTTTGTGATGAGCGCTGCACCTTTCTGCCTTTACTTCTCCTCTCGCCACCATTCTTGCCACTGTTGTTCCTTCTAGTATACAGCTTGGCCTTCATTGTCCCATTTGGCCACTAAAGCATCCATCATGTTGCCAACCCACCTATTGTTGGCCTTCTTATTGCTCATCTTGATGATTATTATCATTGTCACACCCCAGTTCCTGTTTTGATCACTTTAGTCCTCCCAACCGTCTGATCAGCACTCACTCCCTGAATTATGTTGCGTCTGTTACCATCCACTCTGATCGCATCACCGCCAACTGTTCAATTGCCCATCTCTTCCAATCACTTGCAAGTCCCACTTGTGATGAGCCAAACAGACAGATCAAATGATTATGTGTGACATTTATAAATTTGAATTACCCTAGTTGGGGTTAAATCTAATTATGTAACCAAATGTCTCATTTAATTCCATTTTATGAACCTGTCCTCTACCTGTCTGAACTATCTGCTATATCTTTCTATGATCCAAATTGCAGGTGATTGGCCTATGTACATGTTCTATAGTATGATACAGAAAATAAGAAGGCCAATCACTAACTCATTTCTTGAGATCTGTAACCTGTCGCTTTTTCTGTAATAGTTTCAGAAAAACAAGAAACAAGGTCTTAATGAAATCCATTAATTTTATGTATACTCAAGTACTTTGAAGTTGTAACTATAATTCAACTGCTGAAGAAGTCTTATGGGAGATTTCAGTTGAAATACTGATTATTACTGACCAATCATGGAACTCTTATACCAAGATAGAAGCAAGGTATATTTTGTAGTCTGCTAGGTGTGATGTTGGCCAACTCCAATAAAAGCCCATTCTTAGAATCTAAATATTTTGTTCATATTATCATGTTCCAGTCTGTTGGCCTATTGTGCTGCTTACCCTATGTGCTTGGCTTTAAGTCTAACCTTGTCACAGCAATTTGGATTTAGGCTATTTTTCCTTAGCTTTCTGTTAATAACTTGATCCTTATACATTGTGAAGCATGACCTCAATTTTCTAAAACAAATGCTTATCAGTCAAATCATTTTCATGTTTTTACCTACCACGATATTATTACCTGTTTGTAGATCGAACTAAGGCGAGCCAATAATACTGAAATCATGCTGACAAAAATCAAGATGCCACTGTCTGATATGATGGTAATCTAAATCTTGGTCTTTCTCCCCTTTTTGTCATTTAATCTATGTGTTCATAATTTTTTTTTTAAGGAAAATATGCTCATACTTTTTTCCACTGAGATAGTATGATGAAGATTTTTTAATCTTTTCACTTGTTTTACATCTTAGAGCTTGTGCATTTGATTGCTAACAAGAATATTGATTTATACTTCAGATTTAATTCTTGATAATAACATTTGAATCACATGCAATTTTTCGAATTTTGGCATCTCAAATCATTGTGTGGAATTATTTTTTTGGGCTTTACATGTTCTACTTTCTGGGATGCTTATGCCGATAATTACAGAATTTGTTTTTTTTTTTTTCTTATTCAGTACTCGTTATGTTATGAAGGAACTAGGTGAAACGTTGCTCAAGTAACTGACTATTATCATGAGGGCATGTACCACATGACTTTGGTTTTGTTGGACACTATGACTAAGTCTCGAAGAATATTTGAAAAAAGATTATGCTAACTCAATCTGCAAAAATATCAAGCTTAAGATAGTCTGATCTTTGGTGAGTTCCTGATCAGAGATATGGGAGAATAAAGAAAGAGAGAAGCTAAAAAGAAGCTCTGATGTACTTGTTTCTTTTAAATGTTTGTTGTATTGATCATCTCCAGACCAAAAGAATCAAAGATACGGACATTATGACCAAATACATGCAACCTCATTTTGCAAGCTAGGCAAGTTATAATTCAATTACAATCAGATTTAGAACTAATCGGATAGGATCTAATGGCTAGATTGCAGATGATTTGAGTTCTCAAGGCAAGAGTGGAGAGAGATCATAAGTAGTAACTATGATAGAGAGTTATGTAAAAGCAAGAACATAAAAGAAAAAGGTTGGAGTGCAGCTAAAATGAACTGACCATTAAATATATTCACAATGGCATTGTTGACTATTTTTATTATAGGGTTAAGGTCCATTTTAGCCCCTGTGGTATTGGCCATAGACCACTTAAGCTTTTATGGTTTATTCGTGTCTAAAATAACCCTTATATTTTCAAAAAAGTAGCATATAAATCCCTTCCGTCAAGTCTGAGTTAATAGACATTATAGTTTGCTTATGTGGCATGCTGACTCACAATAAACCATTAATATAATGACACATGTAATTTAAATTTTTTTAAAAGAAACTGAGATCACCATCAATGACGAGAGGAGGCGTCATCATGGAAACGACTACCAGCAGCAACACCGAGCCGTTGTTGCCTAGTAAGGCGTCATACGCACACAGCCTCTCCCATGTTGACAATGAGCTCAGGAGCTTTCTGTCCTACCTCAGGTGGATGTGCGTCGACTTGTTCGACGTTAGGCACGCAGTGGTCTCCTGGTCCCTCTTCCTCCTCCTAGGCATCTTCGTCCCCACCACCTCCCACTTCGTCCTCTCCTGCGCCCCCATTCGCCGCGCCTACGACATGGTGGTCCAGCTTTCCTTCACCTCTGCCTTCGACCTCTGTCTCTCTGCCTTCGTCCGCTGCTACGGCCTCCATTGCTTCTTCTTCCTTGACAAAATGGACCTTAACTCTTTTTTAAACTTAAATTATACGTGTCATTATATTAATGATTTATTATGAGTCAAAATGTCACGTAAGCATACTCTAACGTCTATTAACTTAGACTTGACGTGAGGGGCTTATATGCTACGTTTTTTAAAATGTATGGGTTATTTTAAACACGAGTAAATCATAAGGGCTTAAGTGGTCCATGGTCAAAACCACAGGGGCTAAAATAGATCTTAACCTTTTTTTAAATTTAAATTACACATATCATTATATTAATAATTTATTGTGAGTCAGCATGCCACGTAAGCAGACTCTAATGTTTGTTAACTCAAACTTGACGGAATGAGCTTATATACTACGTTTTTGAAAATGTAGGGGTTATTTTAGACACGAGTAAATCATAAGGGTTTAAGTGGTTCACAACCAAAACAACAAGGGCTAAAATGGACCTTAACCATTTATTATAAGTTCCAAAGCAAATTTAGCCATGACTTTATTAAATAAATCATAGGGGCAGTCATAGTAGAGAAAATAAAAGGAGTATATAGACTTCCTTCTATGCACTGTTACAAATTTCTTGTCTGGTTGAATCTAGAGAAACAGAAAACCCTAACTGGACAAAATAATAAAAACTAAAACAAACCAAATCAGACCAAATTGGCTCATTAAGAAACAACTAAATGTAGCCCGATAAAACTAATTATAAAGAGATATTTTGTTTATTTTACACTTTTTTTATAAAACTGAGGCATTTTAATTGGATCACTTACTATACCTACCTTATTTGTTTATTGTATATGTCTCCTTAGCTAATGTGTGAGACTACAAGATAAAACTTGAACAAGTGTTAAACAAGCAGAAAGTACATCTCAGGCTCTTGTCTCAACCATGTTTGATAGAGATGTGGTTAATTTCATTAGTATTTTTTTATGTTGAACCTTAAATCTTGAGTTGCGAGAGTATATTCTCATAAATTTTGGTTTATATTGTGACAAGCATGGTCAGGCCATACAAACACAAGAAAGGGGTCAAACTCAAGGAAGGGGATTTGGCTATCTTTCAGGACCTTATATTCAGTAAAATAATTTCTGATATTAATGAATGAATGTGTTCTCTTATACACAATTTTCAGGTTAATGGTCAGTCATTACTCCCGAAAACTAGAAAAAGATCTTTATTAGTGAACTTTTCTTCTATTTTTGCCTTCTAAATCACATAAGTAATAGTCTTGTACAAATAAATAATTCACATAAAATGGATTTGGGCACAAGTTCTTAAACTGAACTCTGTTTTAGCTATTCCAAAGTCATGAAATTCAGTACTATACTTAAACCTGTCTTTTCTTCCAACTTGTAGAGTGCTGTTCTTGCGTTGGATGATTCACTTCTTGATGCTGATCAAGTAGAAAACTTGATAAAGTTTTGTCCCACCAAAGAGGAAATGGAACTTCTTAAGGTATGTGTAGAACATGATACTCATTTACACTTGTTCACTATTTTGGCCATTGAACTTCTTGTTTTTTTGTATTTGGATTCAAATTATTTATAAAAGGACTTACTTCTGTCATTGCAACTTTTTCTAGGCCTACAGTGGCAACAAGGAAAACCTTGGGAAATGTGAGCAGGTAAATTCTTGAGACTTTTAACCTGTTAGTTGAATATTGCTTTTCACGACTGAAGATAGCAAAAGAACAAAGTGCTCCAAGAACAGTATTGAACATGTTGAAAAAGGAGATTGCAAGGTTATAGGGCATATTAATATCTTTTGTACATCAACGATGAGATGAATTTGTTAAGGGCAACAAAATGTTGTTATCAAAGTCCATCTATGCATCAACTAAATTTGACAACATTGATATATCAAATAAGATAATTACACAAACAATTTAATACCCTTTGGATAAGTTATACTCATTTTGCTACAAATCTAGGTTTCCAACAGGTGGCTAACTTTCTTGGTAAATAGCACATACACAATGTGATACATGTATGCCCTCTCCTTATAACTTGGGGATTATAATATCACAATAGGTGTTTGTCAGTTTTTCTTTTTCCCTGTTGCTATTCTCTTCGTTTTCAACTATAGCTTTTAACTTATTTTTGTATTGTATCTTCTTTTTTATTCTCTCATTGCACTTATTGAAACCAAGGATCTGAATATTGCATGTTTGGACAAGCATGTCAATTTAGAGTGACGTCAAATGTCTTAACAATTGTGGTTAAAATGTATACTCATATTAGAACTTATGATATTGTTTCAATCAACAACCAATAGCCCCATGCACAAGGTTCCCACCGGCCATGACTATGGGATTTAGGGAGAATCAATGAAACTATACCCATGGCTGGAACCTTGGTCACCTGAATATTCTTCAATTGACGATCATCAAAAAATGAAGGTTGTAATTGCATATAAAATTGTCTGGCAACAAATCAAGGTTTACAGTTTTAGGTACCAGTGCTATGTCCATAGTCTGATTGCTATGGGCATATCCATGCTAGTGTATTAACACGTGCTGTGCTAGCACGTACTGTGGTACCAAGAAAGGAGGGAAGAGGAGGAAACGGAGAGAAGGGTACTGGGAGGCCAGAGGGGTTGGTGGTGCCAGTGGCAGGGAAAGCAGGCAACATTGCAAGGCACGAGGATTTTGCAAGCTGGAAGAGATGTAATTAGGGCCTTGTCATGACTCTCGTCTCTTTTTTAAACTGGGAGATTAAGAAAATAATAATAATGGATTGATCTGTCCAAAAATGGGTGGTCCTTATCCCAGTTCATGCCCGAACCAATAAATACTGATCAGTATATTATCGGTCTAGGTGAAATGACAAATCTTGGTCAAGATGTGGTTGTTGAGATTGATGTGTAAGTTTATTAAGAATTTAGAAATAACTAATAAAAGAAGTTACTTCCATGAACAATTAGTTTTAGTTCCAATAAAGGATAAAATAATGGAGAATGATTTAATATGATACGGATATGTCTAAAAGGAAACTTATAAACTCAATAAAGACATTTAAAATAATAAGAAGAGACTTGACTGCTCTTTATTTGACTAAAATATTGTCTTAAACATAGCTTAAGGGTGGAAAAAGATACATGTAACAGACTAAATAGTTCTAATATTACCGTTTGTTGTTGTTAATGTTGTACATATCAAAATCTGACCATGGGCATATGAATATAACGTTGCTCAAAGAAATACTAAAAGTACATCTTGTCCCATTTCTGGTGGGAACTTATCGAGTAGATATCATTGATAGTATGAATGTATCATGTACATTTTGAGGTCTTCCTGACCTAAATGTATTGATCGTCTTTTAAAATTATGATTTTTCTAGGATATTTCTTTTATGGGTAGAGTATTTCCCCGAAGTACATTATCCCTATGTTTCCAGGGCCAGATTCACTACAGTTTTCAGAATTGAATTGGGTTTTGGTTTAAGATTTCGACTCAGGATGACTTGGAAGTCTGATATAAGTTAATTATCAGGCTAGATCTGATCATATCTAACTTTGAGCAGGTAGACAGAATTTGGAACTATTTATTTTCACTTCTATTCCTGTTCATTCTAATCCAATTGAAACATTCCAAGTTCACATACTCAGTCCACCTATAGCATTGTGCACATTTCAAAAAATAATTGATTTATGGATACGAAGTTCATAATCAGGTGTATAGTTTGATTATTTGAGTGTGTTGTAACTCTGATCATGCACAGTAAAATAGAAAATTTCATGTAATTCATCCACGATGACATATAGTTGCATGTTTAACTTTGGTGGTGATCAACCACTGTTGATGATTTGCAACCACCTTTTAGTCGTCTTTGTAAAAGAAATATAGAATTGCAGCTGATGACACTTGTGCAGAACATGATCTCCATGAATTTAAACTTCACTTAAATTATTCTGCTTCACTTTATCCTGAATGTTCACATGCTCACATATGCTGAGAATGAGTCTTAGGACTACTTATTTCCACCTTTTATGCTTTAAATTCTATACACAGTAACTTTGTACTGCACTTTCTATGAAAATTTTTTGGTTTCAAATTACCCCTATATTTTGAAACTCTTAGGCTTTTATTGGTGGCAATCACTATGACTAGGTAATCCATTCCACATCTATGAGGTGCTTTTCTTTAGCCAATTTCTATCTGTGCATTACAGGCTTCATAGAACTCTTTTGCATATATGAGCTTTACTGTGTGATAGAAGTTTCATCAGCACATGTATGCATTTCCTTGAATCTGTTACCTTTGAAGATTCTTTTTAGCTGCTATTTGGAATAAAAATAATATTTTTTTGGAACTTCTGAACTACAGTTCTTTTTGGAGTTGATGAAAGTACCACGGGTTGAATCCAAACTACGGGTATTTGCATTCAAGATTCAGTTCAACTCACAGGTAATGTACTTTCTCTATTTTCCATATAGTGTGCTTCTTAATGCACATAAAAAGTATGTTTACACAGCATATATTGCTACAAATTGGTCAGTGATTGCAGGCCTCCTGACTTATCATCTAGATTTTCTTACCTCTTTCTTTTCAGATTTCAGATATTAGAAAGATTTTGCACACTGTAGATTCTGCTTGTGAAGAGGTAAAAATTTTTAAGTTTATTTCTGAGATATATCTGATAAGTAACTGCTTTTCATATGACTTGTCAGGTCCGGGGCTCTGAGAAATTAAAGGAAATAATGAAGAAGATTCTGCATCTTGGAAATACACTAAACCAGGGAACTGCAAGAGGTAATGGAATTTCTCTCTGTGCTAAATCTATTAAAACTATTGAAGCTGTCTCAGGTAAAAGAAATACATGTTTGGGAAAAGATGGGTATGGCCACTCTCTTTTAGCTAAGAAAAATGAGAAAAGGGTATAAAGTAAAGAATATCTTTGAGGAAAATAAGTAGAAAATAAAGTATATCAAGATTTTGAAGAAAAGCTTCTGCAGCAAAACTGATGGCATACCAACAAAAAAATGTTAAATCAAAATAAGTTAAAAATAACTCGGATTGAATAAAATGAAGAAAATTAAGAAACTCATGAAAAATACTTTTTAAATGACTACAAAGGCAATAACGTTATCACATTTTAGATGTTTTGATTTCCACAGATATTTAAGTGATTGGGGAAGTGGTCTTATAAAGAGTGATTGCTGCACCATTATCAATCTAAAATTGCATTATCATCAATCAGGCTACAAATTTGATTTCTACATGTGAAACTTCACATTTTAGCATATTTACTTGGACAATGATGTGGTGCTATGTACACTTGAATGAATACCAAATAAGTGTTTTTCCTCCGAAGGACATCACATTGTTTACAAAGATATCACCTCTTTATTCAAGAAAATCAAGGTCATATTTGTCAATTAGCTTTTTCGAAACCAGGGATGGACATAAACTAAAGCTGAGTCCATTTAATCAATGAAATTTGTCCTTTTCGAGTTAGCCTAGTATACATGTTATATATGGCTTCCTAACTTCTTCAAAATAGCATACTTCGACTATGATACTAGACTACTAGTATTGTGGATATATAAAGAGCAATTGAAAAGAAATTATTGTCGAGAAAAGAGGCACATCATTGTTTTCTCTAACTGAGATAAACATAAAAGCTCATGTAGTCAGAGATTTAAACTATTCATGTATAGGTATAAACTATTCATCTTTCATGTTTCTTGTGATACATAACCAGGATGTATGTCACTTTGTTTCTTCAGAAGAAGCCAAATCTGTGAAGGACTAATAAGTATAAGAAAGAGGAGGGTTTCACTAGAGGAGGGTTTCACTAGGGCGGTGACAGCAGATATAAAGTTTAGTGAGATGAGTCATGGATCTCCACTGATTTCATTCTATGTAGATATTAAGAAGTGACAAGAAAATGTCTTCACAAACCAAATTCCATGAGAAGCAAATGTGGGCTAGGTTGAAGAACCAATTACAGTAGTCAATAGAGGTCAATCGCACAAAAGATCCACGGAGCCAACCCCGAATGTTTGGAACTTTATGATATTTTTGTAGTCATACCTCATCCTCATACCATTTGTAAAACCTCATGAAGTCTAGTTTACTTAGCAGATATAAAGTTGTAATCTTTTGAAGTATTAATCTTAACATGTTGCACCTTGTAGGATTGTACTATTTTTCTAGAAGGGTCTCCTCACCATTTTTTCTCTTTTACAGGTTCTGCTGTTGGTTTTCGTTTGGATAGCCTTCTTAAACTTTCAGATACCCGTGCGACTAATAACAGGATGACCTTGATGCATTACTTATGTAAGGTGTGGGCACAATTATTCTCTTTGCATATTCGTTAGTATGGTATTTCAAGGTTCCTTATTTTCTTATGTTAGAGAGGGCACCCAATATATCAAAGTGTTGAGTTTGTTATGTAAAAAGGGAAGCAGCCAAATGCATGAGGTTTGCATCGATCTAGGGTCTAGGATTGATCAATATATGGTTTAAAATGTTGGTCGGGCTGTTATGTATTGATCAGTATTTAATGGTCCAACCAAGCAATGGTAGTGGACCATATAGCTTGGTTACACTTGGGATATCACTGTTTTTCCTTTTTTTTAATAATACCAAGCAGTACAAACTGGTACATTGTCTGGTATCTGGGCATCGTAGTAGTCCAATAGGTCATGAAAGTAGGCATTGAAATGGTATTTAAAACATTTTAATATATAAGCTAGTGATCTAATTGCATGCCAAGTCCATTTTGGATTATACAATGTAAGATATGATGTCGATACAGATTGCTGTAAAGTTATTAACTGGTTGTCCATACAGAAGATTTTGCAATTTTGACTTGCTGAAGCAATTTCACAAAAAAAAAAGAGGGAAATATTTGAAAAAAATAACCTGGCTGTTCAACATTTTTCAAATCTACAGAATGGAACAGACTAAGAAATTCAGGACTATTTAGATGTTTCTTAGTCAAAGAAATGAATGTTTTTTTTTTGTTGGTTAAATTGATCTTTGCTTGAAGTATACACCTTTCTAGCTACACCTTTAACTTAGTTCATACTTCTCTTTTTCTCACACCATAAATAAATTATTTAGAATTGATTTAATCTGATGGTACACCGGTATGTTATCAATTTCGCTAAGCTATCAATTGTATGGTATTAGTATGCTAGGTGCGAATATCTGTCTGCACACACTGACATATAAGCTATCATTCTTACATGTCCAAATCATCTTAATAGGGTAATGGACAACTCAGCTATATTTTCAAGCCTTATCAATTCACACTTTGATGCCTAAAAGCCTTCTTGTTTGAAACACCTAGGTCCACCACATGTAACCATTTCATCTATAGGTCTCATTAGAACATGTTCACATGAATTTAAATGATTTTTCATCATTATATCTTCTGTGGGATTTATATCTAATTGTTCATACATGTAAATATATTATTTTCTATCGTTACAGTAACTACACACCTACCACAACTCTTATCATTTTCTCGACACTTTTTGTACATTTTGCTCTTCTAAAGCATGACTGATAAAATAATATATAACATGGAGACCAATCTTATATATAACTGGTGAGTTCATCTATTACCAACATAAAAAGACAAAAACTTAAAGTTGATACTTGATGTCGTTCTATACTAATAGGAAACTCATTAAGCACACTTCTTACCATAAGAAAGAATTAAAATAACTATATTTTATTTCACATGGCGGAGAATTTGTCATGTCTACCAGTCAGTTCAGAGAATTAAACTAACTATAAGAAAAGTTTCAGGTCCTTGCTGAGAAGTCAGCACATCTTTTGGACTTTCATGAGGATCTTGTCAGTTTGGAAGCTGCATCAAAGGTTTTGAACTGTTGATCTGAGTCTACCACTAGAAGTTTCAGTTCTTGTTATATTGGAGTATATTGTTCATGCAGATACAACTGAAGTCAATGGCTGAAGAGCAGCAAGCCATCGTCAAAGGGTTAGAGAAGGTTGAATTGGAACTAACTGCTTCAGAAAGTGATGGTCCAGTATCAGAAATCTTTTGCAAAGTATATGCTCCTGTTCTGGCCCAATGTTTTTCTTCAAATCTTGTTTTCATTTTCTTCCTGCCTAAAGGATTGCTGCTTGTTCCAACAGGATATGAAGTATTTGAGTTTATGTCTTATCAAATCCTCACTAGATGTTCTATTGCATTCATGGCTTGCATATTGAATCTTTTCTGCATTTTTTTTTCTGATAAAGCTAAAAATATTCTTGATACTATCCAATTCCTAACATATTCTTATCCTAATCAAGAAACTTATGTTTAGACTTTGAAGGAGTTCACTGCTGTTTCTGGTGCAGAAGTGCGATCCTTGACATCACTTTATAATGCAGTCGTATGCTTCTGAAATCTCATCTCTACCAATTGACTTATCTAACTTTTCTAATATTTCATTGTGTGATATGACATTTGCGCATGTTTTAAAACTCTTACAGGGTAAAAATGCAGATTCACTTGCAATGTATTTTGGTGAAGATCCTGCACGCTGCCCGTTTGAACAAGGTACATTTTCTAGATGTATTTATTGAGCCATGCAATTTAGAGTTCCTCTGTACAAAAAAGTTGGGAAGAACCTAAACTTGCCCAGTTAAGGAGTAGCGAAATACTTCTGTGTAAGCAGAAAGTGTTTAGATAAGAGTTAAAATGAGAATGTTCAATCATTGTAATGCATTTGTCTTCAAGAAACTAGTTTTGGAAAAAGAAAATAATGAAACCTTGATTTTTCGCATAAGCATTTTTGTGTTATTATTTTGCAGGATTCTGCAACGAGGTTAGCTCTAAGAGAAGTTAGTTCTGTTAGTTGTTTAGACACTAGCGGGTTGATAAAATGGAGCGACATTTCCTCTCTTCTCTTTGATCTTCAGGGTTTTGTATTGATTTACAATGTGACACCATTGAAAAATTGAACAGTGGATGTCTTTACCATTAGTCATTTATTTTCCAGTTGATGTATCTGGTGATGTTCCAACAAATAAAACCCAATGTTAACTAAAATAATTAAAAGATTTATGGGGGACCTGATGTCCACTGGTAAAAAAGCCAACCCTGTCATTAGTAATCATTGTGGTGGTTCCTCATTGCTCAATGTAAGGCTTTTTTTTATTAGTGATTAACACTAACTATATCAAAGTTGTTCCTTTGCTATCTGTGAGACCAGAGTTTGAGTCATAGAAATAGCTTCTATATTTAGAAAAAAGACTATATGCATTGACCCTCCTCAAACCCATGCATTGGGAGTCTCGTACACTGGGTCTGTCTTTTTTTTTTAACATCAAAGGATTTCATAGTAACTTGTACTCATCTGTCCAGTTTTCTATAGCTATTCACATGCCCTTTCGAAAGACTTTTAGCAGACTGTAAAGAAACCAGTTCTAAAAAAACACATACTGAAAGCGGATCAACTTTTAAATCAATATGTAGGTAAGATGTTCTTGACTTGAATGAGGTTTCCTAGTCAGCTAAATGTTGATTAATTAGAAATCCAAAGATATCATGTTCTTCTTCAGGGGACTTGTTGAATCGTGTATGGGCCCCTTGAAGCATATTATTCAATCTTTTATCTGCTGCAGAAGGCAAAATTGTTTCAAGTTGCACTAAATATTATTAGCATCATGAAGATCAACATGGTGTAAGCAAGTCTATTGTTTACATCACTAAATAATAATGTTCCACTAGTTTCATCCGGATGAAACCCAATCGAAGTTTAGGGCTGTCAAATCTTAAATTTGTCCTTGAATTTTTTGATAAATGATGTTCCTACTATTTAACAGTAAATGTCATGCTTGATGTATATTTTGACATGTCTTGTAGTTCCTAATCATTGTCAAAAGTTCAGTGTTTGGTAGTATTTCAGCAAAGTTGGATTATTTGTAATTCAAGAACAATGATAAATTTGGAATATTTTTGTGAAAAGTGCAGAGTAATAAAAATTTGTTTAAGTAGATAGTTATATGATCAACTTTTGCACTTTTATGACAAACTTCATGGTGGCACACATCATTTACCTAAACAATATGATAATTATTTAATTCATAAACAATTTGTTTTATTTTGTATTTACATAATTTGAGTATCGATCACGGACATGCAAACAGATTGCTAAACCTTTTGGTGAAGAAAGAATTTGGATAAATTTTCAATTATTTGACGAATTTTGTATCTACACATTTTGTAGTCTCTGCTATGTAGTTGGACCGCATCTCCAAGTTGTACGTATTTTCCCTATATCCGGACTTCACATGTCTAGATCACTAAAACAGATTTGTCTAATCAATAATTATGGAGTCTCTTGTTTTCACCTCTACATATTCTCATTTTTTTCTACTGATGTGATAATTGGAATGTATTTACTATTAGTTATGGGCCTCCAATTATGCCTGCCATCCTCGATGCAGTGTGCTTGTTCTCCATTTTGAAACTGGGACATACTTTATCACTTCATATTTCTACCAGTAACTTCTATTTTTGATGTCAAAACTTTGCAGTGGTCTCTACTATTCTTAATTTTGTGCGGATATTCCGAAAGGCACACGATGAGAACCGCAAGCAGGCCGAACTTGAGAAGAAGAAAGCCCAGAAAGAGGCCGAAACAGAGAAGTCCAAAGAGGCAAACATAGCAAAAAATGTTTCTAGATGACATCTAGTTTGCCTGCCCTTGCATGACTTATCACCTTGTGCTTGGGATACATGCTGTTTTGGCCAGCAACCAAGCATTTGTGCAGATAACTTGCGCAACTGCTTCAGAATTTGCACCACTCTTGTACGAGGAAACTGAATTGCACCGCACCTACGGGGAAACAAAGTGGTAAGTATCGCTCATTCCACTTTGTTATGCACTTTCATGAAAGATAGTACTATTATCTGACAGAACAAATAAACTCTATAACAAATATCAATATCATGTGATTTCTTCATCAAGTTTTGGACGACTGAGTTTGTTTTGCTGCCCATTTCCGACAGGTATGTCTCAGGCAATGGCCAATTAATTGTTTGGCATTATGGCTAATGGAGCCTCAAATTTTGTATCCGTAACCTTTGTACAGAGGTAACCCGACAGCTCACATGATTCTTTTTGTACAGTTCCTATTAGATTTTCTTTTTTAAACTTAGGTAGATATGAGAGTAGATCAGAAACTGTTGTACAATGAGGATGAAAGAGAAGCAAAATACGAAAAATTGTAGCTCTCTTGAAGTAGGTCACAGGAATAAATATTCTTTTTTTCTGTACTCTTACGAGAAATTTTGTAATTTAAATCATTTTTGAAGAATCAAGAAGTCATGTGTTGCTGGAGGTGCATGCCTCTTCCTCATCCTACACCTCAACAAACACCCGAAATCGGGTGCTGGCTATGCTTTGTCACGAACACTCTCTTGGGTATTATTGTTGAATTTTATTCTGAATTGAAAAGTTCTCTTGTCAGTTTAACATTTGAGGACATATTAGTTTGTTTACCTGACATTTGGTGTGCAACTATCTTGGGCAGCCTGATACTAGTGTGGATATCTGAAATCAAATAGCATAGTTACTGCCTCGTGTTTACTTGAACAATTGTCAACAGTAGCACCACTTTGCTTTGGTTAAAGTGCTGGTAATCTTCAGTTTACGCATGAAGTTAGTACATAACAAATTTCTATTGTACGTAGGTGAGTTATCAAATATCGTATACAATCTCCGTCGAAGAAAACACAGAAGGAATGCCATGTCATCGTATCAGGACTTCATTTGCCAATGCATGTAGTACATATCTGTTTATTATCTGTGGAATTGCCCCCCCCCAGTCATCTAAGTACATAGTTAGAAGCTTATTTATTGCTTGATGTTTATCGGATTCGGGTTCGTGTTTGGCTCCTGACGACGGATCCAGTTCGGATTCCTCATGTTGAATGCGCAGGACGACGTGGCATTTTCGGTCCTGTCGCGTGCTATCTCTCGAACCTTCGATCCCCGCCACCGCCGCTGCCCTCTTTTTAACTCCTCGAATCAGAAGTGCCCAATCCCCCTTCCTCTATTCGAACGAGACTCGTGCTGCAACGGCGTCCGTGCTGGTACTGTTCTATCGATCCTCGACCTTTTGTGTTCTCCTGGTGTTCGAAGCTATTGCGATCGCTGATCTGGATCCTCGATGCGATGTCTGCAGCAGCCCTCAGGTCATACTGCTGAACGAGGGGGCCAACACGTCCCAGGGGAAGGCACAGATGACGAGCAACATCAAGATGGAAACCAAAGTGCCTGGGATCTCCTCGACATCGTCCATACCGCCGCCAAGATCATGTATCTCCTCGACATCCATGATCTTGGATCTCCTCGACATCGTCAACATCAAGATGGGAACCAACGCCACAAATCATGGATCTCCTCGACATCGTCCATACCGCCGCCAAGATCCTCGTCGGCGGTTGCCAAGTCGCAAGACTCCGAGGTAACTTGCCCGGCCTGGGATCACGAACGAACGGTAGGGCACGAGCAAAAGGTGCCAACGCCTGAAGATCAAGATGGAAACCAAAGTGTGTTTATGTCAACAAGAACCCATCGATTGATCAAGAAAGCAACGAACTGCTGATCTGGGTTTAACCGCTGTCAGATGGATCATGGGTGCATCTCGCATCAGCAGTTTTCTTATGCACACAACGGTGCTGAATTGTGTGTTCCGCGGCGACTTCTTGGAAGTGGCTTTGGGTACCGACTACAGAGTCTCACAGTCTGAACCTTGTGCAGGTGGGTGATGGAACTACTCCCACTGTAGTTCTTGCTGGGTGAGCTCTCTCAGAAGAGGCTAAAACCTGTTCTTGGAAATGGGAGTCCTTTCACAGAGTCTAATCCGAAGTTGCAGGACTGCAGTCAGTATCTCACTGCTCTCTCTCTCTCTCTCTCTCTCTCTTTCTTGGTAATGAATGCTCATTGAATTGAATAACATGTTTTGCAGGGCATTAACAAAAAATAAAGAAGTAGGCCTCACCGTAGAAGCGATGGGCCTTTTGAGGAAAGCAATCATTCTGGGGTATGTATATCTTTACTGGTAATTTCTAAATATCTTATTGAAGCGTCTTAAATTATACTGTTGGCTTTAGTGGCTTCCATAATAAATATATTAATG